ATTTTCATGAATGAATGAACACTTCCTTGTATCTGAGGCATAGCCTTATATGGTGTTTTTGGGGTGGTTATGCTAATCTCCTCTCTCGTGCACGAGCAGCTGGATACGAACTGGGGTAATTTACGCAGCTCATTTACGCACGTTTCCTAAAGATAGAAGAGTTTGTTGCATCTGACGTGACATGTTCGTACGAACCCTTTGTACGAACAAAAGTAAGAGAAATTTAGGAGAAAAATACGAACATGTTCTTGCATGAGGCCCAATGTCTTGGAGGGTTCTGTTAAAATCACCCCTCCACCTGCAGATAAGTGGGCCATTGTTGAACACCCTAGCTTACCTTTACCAGGGGGTTTGTGTGTTCAGAGTTGTCTAATTACACTGCCACAGCATCCACCCTATAAAGTCCCAGTAATCATGAAGAATGAATCAGAGCAAGAGGTGTCCATATCACCTTTAACAATTATTGCAGACATTGGGTCAGCACCTACTGTTTTGTCACAGCAAATCACCTCAAACTTCACAACAAACCACTTTGGACTTTAACTTTGGAGATTCTCCCATTCCACCTGAGTGGAAAGAACATATTATCAATAAAATGAACAGCATGCCTGAAGTATTCTCTCATCATGATATGAATTTTGGCTGTACAGATGCAGTTAAACATACCATTAAACTTAATGATGAAATACAGAGCAAGGCCAATCCATCCCCAAGATCTGGAGGCAGTCCGTGAGCATCTTAGGGACCTGCTTGAAGCTGGCATCATAAGAGAGTCCAAATCACCATTTTCCTCTCCAGTAGTTGGTGTTCGGAAACGTAATGGTTCCATCCGGCTATGCATAGATTACAGGAAACTAAATCTTCAAACTATCAAAGATGCATATGCCCTTCCTAATTTGGAAGAATCTTTTTGTGCTTTGACAGGGTCCAAATGGTTCACTGTGTTGGATTTAAAATCTGGCTATTATCAAATAGAGATGGCAGAAGAAGACAAGGCTAAAACAGCTTTTGTAACTCCCCTTGGATTTTGGGAGTGGAACAGAATGCCGCAAGGAATTACGAATGCACCTAGCACGTTTCAGCGGCTAATGGAGAGGTGCATGGGAGATCTGCATCTTAAAGAAGTCCTTGTCTTCCTCGATGACATCATCATCTTTTCTGCCACTCTGGAAGAACATGAGGAGCGGCTGCTGCGAGTGCTTTCCCGGTTGAAGCAGTTTGGACTAAAGCTCTCTCCAGAGAAATGTAAGTTCTTTCAGTCTTCTGTACGTTATTTGGGACACATTGTCTCTGAAAAAGGAGTTGAAACTGATCCAGAAAAGATTGATTCTTTAAAATCCTGGCCAGTCCCCCGCAACCTTAAAGAGCTGCGATCTTTTCTGGGTTTTGCTGGATATTACAGAAGATTTATTAAAGACTATGCTGCCATTGTCAAACCACTTAATGAGTTAACCCGTGGCCATCCTCCTGCCCGCAGTCCTGCAAAGCTGAAGAAACCAGAAGGAAAGTACTCAGATCCAAAGCAATCCTTTGGAGATAAATGGACTAGCTATCAGCAGATTGCCTTTGAAACAGTCATTTCCAAATTGACTACAGCACCTGTTCTTGGGTTTGCAAATTACAACTGCCATACATTTTACATACTGATGCCAGTACAAATGGGTTGGGAGCAGTGTTGTACCAAGAGCAGGAGGGCAAGCTGCGCGTTATTGCTTATGCTAGTTGAGGCTTGTCTGTCAGTGAGTCAAAATATCCTGCTCATAAACTGGAGTTTTTGGCCCTGAAGTGGAGTGTTACTGAGAAGTTCCATGATTACCTCTATGGGGCTAACTTTACAGTTGTCACAGATAGCAACCCTCTCACTTATGTTCTTTCTTCAGCCAAGTTGGATGCTACAGGTCACCGGTGGTTGGCAGCACTGTCCACTTACTCATTCAAACTACAGTCCCGTGCTGGAAAACAGAATTTTGATGCTGATGCTCTGTCCCTACGCTCACATGAAGATACTTCAAGTGATCAGCACTGCAGAGAGAGGGAGCTCATTCAGCATCTGACCAGTCAGTTGGGTAATGGTGAAAAGACACATGACATTTCTCCTGAAATTGTGGATGCYATCTGTCAGAGTTGTATAATCCGAACACAGAACCAAACTGAACTAAGTCGATCTGTCGCACTGGTTGAATCTCTGTCTCTGTTAACTCCATCCCTGATGGGTTCATCAATGAAGAGTTGCACGGCTTGCCTCTAATCCCCTCTCTATCTCAGGTCAATCTCCAAGAAGAGCAACAAGCTGATCCTGCTATTCGTGAGGTCATTCATCAGCTGGAGACTGGTGAGAAGGTCCTTCCATCGGTTTGAAATGAGCTACCTCACCTTCCTTTGCTCCTGAGAGAGTGGAACAGGTTAGAGKTGGTGGATGGGATCTTATATCGGAGAACTTATGATGGAGATAAACTTATCTACCAGTTAATCCTACCGCCCAAGTTACGACCAGYTGTTTTAAAGAGCTTGCACCATGATATGGGGCATATGGGCATCGAAAGAACAGTTGATCTGGTTCGCCAACGCTTCTTTTGGCCCAAAATGACACTAGAGCGGGAAACTTTTGTAAAAACCTGTGGTCGTTGCGTAAGGCGTAAAGCTCCAATTGAAAGAGCAGCTCCATTAATAAATATTCAAACAAGYCGACCACTTGAACTGCTATGTATGGATTTTTTAACCATTGAACCTGACAGCAGTAATACTAAGGACATTCTTGTTCTCACTGATCACTTCACCAAATTTGCAGTTGCCATTCCTACCCCCAACCAGAAGGCAAAGACGGTTGCAAAGTACCTCTGGAATGAATTTATGGTTTATTATGGAATTCTAGAGCGTATACAGTCAGACCAGGGTACAGATTTCGAGTCCAAGCTCATTAAAGAGCTCTGTGAAGTTGTAGGCATGAAGAAAAGCCGAACTATCCCGTACCACCCACGAGGGAATCCAGTCGAGCGCTTCAACCGTACTCTGCTCAATATGCTTGGAACCCTGGAAATGAAACAAAAGTCAAAATGGCGAGAGTATGTCAAACCTTTAGTACATGCATTTAACTGTACAAGAAACGAGGTGACAGGGTTCACACCTTATGAACTCATGTTTGGTCGTTGTCCTCGTCTTCCTGTGGATTTGGCTTTTGGTTTACCTGTCAGAGAACAATCATCCATCTCTCATTCTGAGTATGTTAAGAATCTGCAATCCAGCCTGAAAGAAAGCTACAAACTAGCTTCTGAGAATGCCCTCAAGTCAGCTGCAAAGAACAAGACCCATTTTGATCAGAAAATTACACCATGCAGTTTGGAGATAGGAGATTGAGTACTGGTTCGCAACATCCATTTTAGGGGTAAGCACAAGCTGGCAGATAGATGGGAACCAGGGGTGTACAAAGTTGTTGACAGAGCTGAAAATGTACCAGTTTACACTGTACAATCGGAACACAAAGAGGGACCAACTCATACTTTACATAGAGACCTATTGCTTCCTTGTGGTTTCCTGCCAATTTGCTCCACAGAAGACCCCTCTATCTCCATGCCTGCCTCACAAGGAAAGACTAGCAGCCAGGATGGTTGCCATCCAGATGTTCCTGATGCGATGGAGGAGGATGAGGATGCTGAGCCATCTATGCTGGAGATTTCCATCCCACTCCCAACCAGAGTCAGTGTGAAGGTGAGAAAATTCAAGTCATCACCTGAATCCATCATTACTTTGCAGCCCACTTCACCTTTGGCTCAAAGTGATGCTGAAGCGCCAGATCATCCCGTACCTCTAATTCAGAGCACAGACCTTGAGACTGCTAGTCCATCCGAAATTGAAGAATCCTGTTTAACAACTGATTCATCACTGTCTCATCATGAAAACAAGCTACCTGTGGAACAGATTGAAACAGAGGAACWTTCTGAACCACATGTAGCTGAGCCTGTGAAAGTACACATGGAGGGAGAAGTACYTGACGAACACTTACCTGAAGTTCAAGAACCTGACGCTGAGGATCATCTGGTCGTTCAATCTGAGTCATCCCCAGGTCCTGCAAATGTCAGCTCACCCTACAACTCAGTTGAGGCTGAAATATGGCCCAGGCGATCAAATAGACAGTGTCAACCTCCTAGCCGTCTAACATATCCTGTGTTGGGTAAGCCACTCATTTCAGTAGTTCAGACTGCATAGATTGCATAGTTTGGCAAATGTGTACACTGAGGCTCTCGGCCAAGTTTCTAATGTAAATATTCAGAAAAATTAATTCAAGTAACCATGCAACGGGACATGCAGGAATTAAAGAGGGGAGGATGTAACCAGGATAATTTTTCTGTTAGATTCAGTTCATTTTATTTTTCTATTTTGTTAGATCTAATTTTATTTATTTTTATTTAAAGATTTATTGAAAATCCTCCTTTATTTATTGCCAAACCAAGCGAGAACATTCTTCTCGCGATGTTTCAACGTCATGTGACAGCTGCACGTCAGCGTCCTAAATTGACAGCTACGGCTTACGTATATTGCTGCTGAATCGCACCTTAGGTAGGAGACGCTGTCGGACTCTGACGTGCAGGTAGGCTTCTGCTCTGTTCCCAAAGCGGTTTTCAAATGTCGATTGTACATCTATCAATTGTGTGCCTCTGTTAACTTACAGACGTGAACATTCGGCTAAAMGTTGAAACGATCACGGTTTGTCAAGAGGGAACTGGTGAGTGTTTGTTCGGGAGCTAGCATGCTAKCACTAGCCTCCCCAGCTGTTAAGTAGCTGACACCGATCTAAARCACATTCAAATTGAAATGCTTATTGAAACTATTGTTGTGAAAAGAGTAACTKGAATTTGMATAAGTTGCATTTAATTATGTAAACTCCTGTAATTAGAAAATACATGTACATGTTGATTGATTATTTAGGCCTGTTTACACAGGCCAGGTGTATTGCAGATCCCCCCCACTCCGCTCAAGGAGTGGCTGAAGGGTTTAATATACATCACGGATTGTCTGGCTTCATGCTGACCAGACTGGCGAGCTAACCGTATTAGCGGATCCGGAGATACAACACCTGTCATCTGTGAAAACTTCCGAACTGGTTGGAGATTCAGCCCAACAGTCTTCCCTGACGGAACTGGATATTTATTTTTTGTTTTTCCTTTCATCATCAACAAAGACTGATTGACTTTCTTGGATTAAGRAACCCTTTTGAACTCTAAATTGTGGACTAATTTGTATATATTGTAAATATCAATACAACTCACTGATTTTGCACMATCTACTTGTCTTTGTGTTTTTGCAATTTGCCACCTCCTCCAGCAGACGAACCTAGTTTWTAAGAAATCACTTGGATTGACATTAGTTTGGATTATTTCTATAATCTTARAATGTAACTTGGGTTACATATTCAATGGGAATATTTCATTCATTCAGATCTAGGATGTGTTATTTGAATGTTCCCTTTATTTTTTTGAGCAGTACACATATACAGTGGGGTGCAAAAATTTGGGCAGCTCTGTTAATTTTCCTGATTTACCTTTATAAATCATTGATAGTTTGGATTAAAAAAATCTGTTAAATATGTCATATAGGGGACAAACAGTGATATTTGAGAAGTGAAATGAAGTTTACATGATGAGAAAGTGTGCAATAATTGGTTAAACAAAATTTGGCTGGTGCATAAATTTGGGCTCTGTTGTCTTTTTATTGATTTCAAAACCTTTAGAACTAATTATTGGAACTCAAATTTGGTTTGGTATGTTCAGTGACCCCTGACCTCCACACACACAGGTGACTCCAATTATGAGAAAGGGGATTTAAGGGGGGCAATTGTAAGTTTTCTCCTCTTTGCATCTTCTCTGAAGAATTGCAACATGGGAGTCTCAAAACAACTTTCAAATGAGCTGAGAAAAAAGACTGTTCACCGTCATGGATACAGAAAGCTATCTCAGAGATTTCAGCTTTCAATCTCCACTGTGAGAAACATTGGGCCTCATGCAAGAACATGTTTGTATTCTTATCCTAAATTTCTCTTACTTTTGTTCGTACGAAGGGTTTGTACGAACATGCCACATTAGATTCAACAAACTTCTATCTTCAGGAAAAGTGTGTAAATGAGCTGCGTAAACTGATGAATGCGTATCAGGTGCTCGTGCACGAGGAGAGGAGATTAGCATAATCTACCACTCTAAAAACACCATATAAGGCTATAGTTCCTGCCCCAGATACCAAGAAGTGTCCATTCATAAATGAAATGGCTAAGTAAAAAATGAAGAACTTTACGAGTTCAGAGATTGAAGTTCTGCTCTCTGAGATCCAGAAAAAAATGTAATTTTTAGCAGAGTCAGACCTGCTAAAGCCAAGGAATGAAATGATGACTGCTGTTAATGTCGTGTCTCCCGTGAATCATATACAGTCACAGAAAAAAAAATCTAAATCATATTCATCTCTCTCTAGTCCTGCTCCGGTTTTTCTTTGGTCAAATATTTTTAATTTAAGTGTAAACAACTATGTTACATAGTTTTCAATTATTCAGAAGAAGAGCAGTCGCGCACCACTAACCCCACCACCATGGCCTGGCCATCTCCCCCGTCGCAAGTGTCAGATGAGGTTCTGAAAAAAAGGATTTTAAAATGTCTCCAAACTTCAATTAATGCATAATTTAAGTTGGTTTTTAGTGTGAGATCTTCATATTAATATTGTAGTGTTATACAACAACATTACTAGCCAATTTAATTTAATCAAACCAATTTATGTCGTTATGTCCTGATGCATCTCAGTAATCCAGGTAAAAAATCAAAAAGAAAAAAATTGTATAGGTCTTCTGGACGGGTTCTTCTCTAATGAAGCGTTTCATCTCTTCTCCAAGAGACTTCTTCAGTCTGAGAGTTTCAGGCAAAATTCAGGCTTTTAAGCCCTGCCTCCTTGTGACTGATACTCACATTTTTGCAACCGCAAAGTTCAGTCCCCTGGCAAGGATTTCAGTTTCTGGCTGGGTGAGCTGTCTGTCAGACAAATTCTTCACCCACTTCTCTGTCTCCCGCTCCTCTGCTTTGGAAGTGATGTGCTGTCCAAGCAATGTGTACCGCGGAGAGAATCGAGTTTCCAGTAAAGCTAACTTCTTCTGTTGTCGAGTTTTAGAGTTGATATGCTGAGCTAAACCTGCCTTTGCTGTAAATTCTATTACCTGCTGGAATGTGCTCTGATCAAGATTAATTCTTGTCTGATGTCTTGTTCTTTGGCTTCTATGGCTTCAATGGTGAAGTTAGTTTGTCTTTCTCTTTCGTTCAGGAGCTGGGTCTGTGCCTTCTGGAGGATCTTGCTTGCTCGGTGTCCACCAACGGAGGATTTAAGTTGAAGGCTCTTGGGGAAAATGCCACTTTGTCTGCAACGGAGATTGAACAGCCTGACAGAAAAAATAAAAGCATACAGCTGCAGCTGCTCACAAGATCGCTAGTTTAAAACATGAATAAAAGTGTTTGGTCTTATTTGACTGAAGTTCGGTCCGGTTCGGGCTGCAGCTCCCCACTGCGCCGCGCTCTTTCTGCCTTTTTTCCCCTCCTCCCCTCCCGCTGTGCAGGACGTACAGCAGGCTGGTGTGTGTGTGTGTGTGTGTGTGTGTGTGTGTGTGTGTGTGTGTGTGTGTGTGT